GGGCAACTCTGTCCATTCTGAGCTGGCTTGCCTGCCTGGAGGAAGGCACACCACAAGAATTCATTGGGGCCCTTGAATGATCCAGATAGTGGATATTGATTGAGAGTGCTTCAGAAGACTGCAACCTGTGACAGATCTTCCAGAACTGTAGGAGCTTTGCTGGAAACTGCAGGTTGAGGGAAAAGGTCTCTCTTTTGTTGATGAAAGGTTATCCTTCTTAAGAATTAGTTAAGGTTAGGGCCAGGTGCAGGTTCACACCTGTAATCCCAGCACTTTGGGAGGCCGAGGAGGGGGGATCACAAGGTCAAGAGATTGAGACCATCCTGGTCATCGTGGTGAAACCCCATCTCTACTAAAAATAACAAAAATTAGCTGGGTGTGGTGGCATGTGCCTGTAGTCCCAGATACTCAGGAGGCTGAGGCAGGAGAATCACTTGAACCCAGGAGGCAGAGGTTGCAGGGAGTCAAGATCGCACCACTGCCCTCCAACTTGGCAACAGAGCAAGACTCCGTCTCAGAAAAGGGAAAAAAAAAAAAACCTAGTAAGAGTAGTTAGGTCAATGTCACTGCCTTACATTTCCTCACCGGTTCTTCCTAAGGTCAAAGTGCCAAGGGTCCCACATCTCTGAGATGGATCTTTGTGTGAAGCAGCTATAATCACAGAGCTCCCAGGTTCCTCTCACTATTTGTTCTTACACAGAGGGGCAGTCATGGAGTGGTTTTTTCTCTTCAAGCACCCGAGTGAGCTTTAGAAGTAGGTGAAGGGTGTTTGGCAGCCAGGCTTTGCTCTCTGTCAGCCCTCCGTGATAGACAGGTCAAGCGGACCTTGCTCCCACGACTTTAAAAATTGTGATCCTATGACCCTCTTGTACCAGTTCTTACCTAAATGGTTAGCATATTGCTGGTGCAAGGTGTGTGTTCACTGCATGCTTGTTTTGCTGGATAAAACAGACTTAACATCAAAACATTTTAGGACATTTGAAAGTACTGAATAATTTATCTGAAAGAAGAAGGAGCTTAATATTTGCACAAGAGAAGGACAAAAAATGGTCCAGAAGTATGTTAAAGCGCCATGGCAGAATCATCACTCTTTTTTAAGGCACTATCTGGTTTATGAATCTTCTATGTCTGGTGGGGTGGAGGAGTTGGGCAGGCACACAGGGGCTCTTAGCTTAGAGTGGCCTCTGCCTGGTCTCCCGACCAGGCCATTCGCTCTCCCAAGCTCTTGTATTTTGCTTTACCCTCCCTATTTGCACCTTCTGCACACGTGATTTTGGATTTTGAGATCTGATTTTCCACATACTTTGAATTTGTGTGGTTCAAAAGTTTATGACGTTTTGACCGTATTTGAAAATTGAATAGATATTCTCGCCTATCCTACCACTTTGTAAACTTATTCATTACCTTGATCCTCCATGTTAGGCATATTTAATGTATTTTTAATCATTAAAATGATTAGTAAAATTGTCTAAATACAGAAAAATAAAAAGAAGAAAGCAACAAAAGTGAGCTACGGTCTTACTGCCCAGACAAGGCTTATTAATTACAAAAGAAAAATTGCATTATACTGACTGTAAAAAAAATGGTGTTACTTTCTTATTTTTGCTATGCTTTCTGAAATAGTTTAAATGCACTAAAATATTCTGTTACTTCAAACATTAAAAAAATTCACCTGTGACACTGGATAGTCTTGGTGATTTTGGAAAGGGATAAATAATCCTTTGACTCCATAAAAGGTACCTTTTCCTGGTGTTTTTCATGTCATTTTGAGGGGTTATTTTACTAGGTCCTTGGGCACCTCTGTGCAACTTTGTCTCTCTAATGTCATGAGGTCAGCAAGAATATAACTCAGATTCTAAATCCTTGCTTCCAGATTTTGAAATTTCTCCAGGACAAAAATTAGCTTCAAGTGCTTGACTCAATTTTCTAGATTCCAGAACTTTTCTGGATTTCAGTCAGCTAATTTCTCACCATCTGCTTAGCTGTTTACTGCCTTTAAGCCTTTATAGAGAGATAGATATTGGTAGAGATAAATACTTATGGATATAGAATTAGACATAATGTATTTACATATAGATATGGATGGATGAGACATAGATTGGCATTTTGGGGTTCTTTCCAACAGAAGCATTGGTCTAAATTACCTAGTCTTCCGTTACCCAAAAATGAAAGAGTAAATAAGAAGGTTAACAAAATTTTTTTACTGTCAATATAACGTGATTTTCTTTTTTTACTTGTGTATATTATCCACTGTTGCTCTTAATTAATTTATTAACTCTGTAAATGGTGGCTTAAGCCTCAATTTGGTTACTTATTTCCAAATTCTCACCTGTTTTAAAAAGAAATCCCTTATGTGAAACTTCTATTAATAACTAAATTCACATTCCTTTATTTTTTTACCCTGAAGTTCAGAACGCTTGAGGAAACTTCTGTTTTCAGTTTGTGTTTTTCTTCCAGATTAGATTGTTTTGGTTTTCACGGGTTTTTTTTTTTTTTCTCTTTCTTTGCCCTTTCTTACTTTCCTCTTTCCTTTCCTGCAGAAAGCTTGAATAAATGGTGTCTTGGAGCTGCTTCTGTCCACATTGGGGATGAAAATATTATTTTTCACGATGTCGTTGATTCACAAAGTAGAAAGTTGCCTTGAACTTCACAAACCAAGCCTGGGAAGGTCTTTAGAAACCCCCGTTCTTTTTGCTCCTCTGTCCCCTGTCTCTCTGTCTATGTCTCTTTCTTCCCTTTCTGAAGTCATTTGTTGTTCATAGCATTAGGGTTAGGAGGTCGGGTTAGATTTGCGTTTGGCTTCATTTTCTTAACTCACAAGAGCAAATTACTGATGGGATCCATTTTAGAATGTGGGGGATGGGGTGCTTGGACCACAACCTTTATTACGATACACGGGGCTTCTTCTGACACAGAAATTGCTGGGTCATGCTTCTAACATACCGAAGCAGAGTTTCTGTTTTGGTAACATTCCCACCCGGGATCTGGAAAGCAGTCCTCACAAAATCAGTGAGACTTGTCCTTTCCTTCTCTCTCCTTTTTTGGCCTAGTTAAGTCCGGTCCTGTTCAAAAAGATGCAGTCAACACTTCCCCTGCAACCAGAAGCTTCGGGAATGTCTCAGACGCTACAGTTTCTCTGGTTCTCCTGTGTCCAGACCCTTTTGGCCCTTTGTTCTCAGAATCAATCAAGTCTGCCCTCAGATATGCCCAGCTCTGCTCATCTCTAGTTTCCTTCAACCAACTCCTTGGTGGTCTGCACCCAGTCCCACGCTTCTGTAACCCTATGGCAGGCAGCCTCTGGGGTGGCCCAGTCATCCTCACCTCTGGATGCTCACACTTCTGGGGTTCCCTCCCCACGAGGGTGGGCAGGACCTGTGACTTAGCACTAATAGAATATGGCAAAATGGAAGAGATGTCACATCTGATATTAGATTATAGAAAGACTGTGACTTTACTCTGTCTCTCTCTCTCTGCACCTACCTCTCCCCCAAAGTCTTCACAGCTCTCCTGTTCTACTGAATCACACTGCCATGTTGTGAGTTGCCCATGTGGAAAGGGGCTAATGTCTTTTGCCAACAGTGGTGAGAATCTGAGCACCTGCCAGCAGCCATGTGCGTGACCTTGGGAGCAGATCTTCCTGAGGACAAGCCTTGAGATGACCGCAGCCTGGGCCCATACCTTGACTGTGGCCCTGGGGAAGACCTAGGGTCAGAGACACCCAGCTAAGCCACGCCCAGACACCTGACCCACAGAAATCAGGAGATAATAAGTGGTTGCTGCTTTAAATCACTAAGACCTGGAGGCATCTTCCACACAGCAATAGGTAACTCATACAACCTCATGTGAAATTTTTCCTCCATCTCCCCTGGGTAGCATGTCAGAATTGTCCTGGGGCAGAGGATTGATTAAAATACATACCTTTGACAATACCCTGGGAGGCGCCAGCTGATGAGTCCAGAGTGGGGCCCGGAAATCTGCCTTTTTAAGTAGCATCTGGGACTTCTGATGGCGGTTCAGCAGCAAGCACAGACAAAGCCTGTCCTAGAGTGGCTGGAACCACCACACTCTGTGACAATTTGTTTTCACCAAGTGACTAGGGTAGAGACAAGCTTCATTTACAGTCATTTAATATTTATAAAGTAATTACTAAGCAAAAGTACCATGCCACTTGTCATAGATTATATTTTCCAAAGAAGTCTGCAACAATTTCTCTTGTTTCTTGTGCTCTTCTGCAAGGTGACCTTGACATTCCTCATCAAGAGGTGAAGCCTCATTCTCATCCCCTTGAATCTGGACAGGCCTCGTGACTCACTTGTGACTAACAGAATGCAGTGGAATTGGTGCTGAATGACTTTCGTGGCTCAGTCAGGAAAGCCACGCTTCTGCCTGGTTCTCTGAAGACCAAGACAAGCCACTCTCCATGCAGAAAGTGTGATTACCTTAAGATCAGCATGCCGTGGGTACACACTGTAGTTGACAACCCCAGTCCAGCTGCACGCAGCAGCCTGTGCACCTGCCAGCCATGTGAGCAAGACATCGTGCAAGGCCAGCTCACCAAGCCTTTGGATGACATCTGATGGTCACCCATGAGAGGCCCTAAGCTAGAGCTTTCCAGCCAGCTCCTTTCAAATTCCTGACACACAAATGAACAAAATAGGCTGGGCAGGGTAGCTCACGCCTGTAATCCCAGCACTTTGGTAGGCCGAGGTGGGTGGATCACTTGAGGTCAGGAGTTCAAGACCGATCTGGCCAAAATGGTGAAACCCCATCTCTACTAAAAATACAAAAAAATTAGCCGGACTGTAGTGGTGCACACCTGTAATCCCAGTTACTCAGGAGGCCGAGGCAGGAGAATCGCTTGAAGCTGGGAGGCAGAGGTTGCAGTGAGCTGAGGTCATGCCATGCACTTCTGTCTGGGTGACAGAGTGAGACCCTGTCTCAAAAAAGACAAAAAAAAAAACAAAAACAAACAAAACAACCCCCCAAAAACAAAAAACTAAACCAGCAACAACAACAAATGAGCAAATTAAAATGGTGGCTTTAAACAACTAGTGTTGGGTACTTTCCCACAGTGTGTTCCACAGCTGTAAGCGGAACACTGTTCAAGCTGAAATTGCAGATTAAAAGGTGCGTTCTTTGCTCTCAGCGTCATGGTTAAAACCATGGACAGAAATCATTACAAGCAAGCCTGGAAGAGAAAGGGCTTAGCATCCGAGCTGAGGGTGGAGGAAGAGTGCAGCTTGCCAGGCTCCAGGGTCTTGGGAGGCAGCAGTCCAGGTGCAGCAACCATCCCGAAGAGCTACAGCAATTCAGCTGTAGTATAGGTCCAAAGAGTGGGTACGGGGCTGATAAAAGTGGGGAGACCTGTCATGGATGAAGAGAAATTGCATAGGGAACCTACTATGCCAGGCTGAAAAATGCTGATTTTGTCCTGGCCCCAGTGGGTGAGTGCTGGAGATTTTGGAACACGCTTATCTGCGTGGCGTAAACACCCATTTGTTGGTGGAAAAAAAGCAATAACTCTTTGCCAATCAACTGAGTGGAAAAAGGGCCACATTGCAACCCAAGCAGTTTCTATTTAAGTCCTTGTGCTCCCTGTGACTCACCGTATAATTTTGAAGAGATTACTTAAGGCCCATGCCCTCCCTGTAAACACCTGTCACTCTCCCGGTTTGCAGAGATGCTAGGAGGCTAATGAGATCACATGTATGGAATGTATGGGAGCTTCTAAAAGAAATAAACCAGATACATTCACGATAGTATTATCATCACCTCAGCCATCTGGAAGTCAACTTTCTAGCAGACATAGGGGTTCTGAGCAGGGCAGAAGCCAGAAACTCAGAAATAAAGGAAAAACAAAGAAAGGTATTTGGCCCCAGAGAAAGCAGGAAGGAGATACGGAAAGGACTGGAGAGTGAAAGATAGCATGATACAGGACGTGCTGGGCTGCGAAGGAGACCCCCACACCCCCCTTGGAGGAAATGACAGGGAAAGGTAAGCTGATGCTCACACGCCTGGGGTTCCCTTCCTGTGGGGGTGGGCAGGACCTATGGCTTAACTGTAACATAGAATATGGAAAAGGGGAAGAGAGGTCACATCTGAGATTAGATGATTGGAAGACTGTGACTTTCCTCTATCTCTCCCTCTTTGCACCCACCTCTTCCCCCAAGTCTTCATAGCTCGCCTGCTCTGCTGAATCACACTGCCATGTTGTGAGTTGCCCATGTGGAAAGGGGCTGATGTCTTTTGTCAACAGTTGTAAGAACCTGAGCACCTGCCAGCAGCCACATGTGTGACCTCGGGAGCGGATCTTCCCCAAGGCAAATCTTGAGATGACTGCAGCCCGGGCTGACACAGAAATTCAGAAATCTGGAAAAGTTAGAGATGCTGTGAGAGAAAGATGAGGGAGGAAAGAAGGAAGGGGCCAGGCTCTGAGGCATAAGGTTGGAGTGTGGGAGCTGAGGAAGCACAGCAGGCCTGGCTGTGGATAGATGGAAGCTGAAGAGGAGGGTCTTGAATTACGGGGTGCGAACCAGCCTCCCCCAAGCTCAGCAACTGGACATTTTTGTGCAACGTCCTGCAGGTTAGGAGGAGGGCTATGTCTCTTTGACAATGTGTGTGCAGCAGCAGCTTCAGAGCAGTAGAGCAAAAACTCCAGATGTTCTAGGAGGAGCCCGTAGTGACGATAGATTTCAGTGGGCATGTGTGAGAAGGGATCCAGGGGTATGACAGGAGCGGTTAGAACAGGCCAGGTGAGAATAATGGGCCACTGAGTAAGACGGCGGCTGTCTGGAGAGCCCTGAAGATATTCCTGCTATACGTGGTTTCCACCACCTGCTAGACTTAAAATAGCATTTCCACATGTCTGCAACCTAAAGACCTGCTGAATCAGGTTACCTACCCTCCTTTGCAAAGCAAACACCCCATAAGGAATCTCAGCATTGTCTTGTGTACCCCTGCACCAACTCTAATGCACTGGACCTGGATTGAGAAAAAGAAAAGGAGCACAGACCCCTTGGGTGGGACCCGCCTTTGGGACTGTGCCTCTGAGCATTCATCCTGGCTGGAAATCCTTTGCGCCCGTGGTGGTTGTAAGAGCATGACTCGCAGGGTCTCCTGCTGTATCCTCCCACCTGCAATCAGGGCTCCAGAGGATGCCTTCGATCTTGGGGACATGATTCTCTGATCTCATCCCCCACCCTGCCCTGCCTTTGGAGGGACCTTGCACCCCTTTCCCTCCCCAAGCATTGGAGTTATTGCTGCTACTTTTTTTCAGAAGGAATAACATGTATGACTTTCTTTATTGATTAGCTTTCCAGGGCATTTGCTAGAGAAATCAGGCTATGGGGAGAAGCAGAGGTTCCAACAGCCCACATGGTGACTCGGTTTCCTTTCATCATCTGGTATCCTTGACCGTGTTTTCTGCTGGCTTGGGTTGGTCAGGTCTGCTCTCTGGGTCTCATCCTCCTCTGGAGTGTTTCAGATGATCTGTTAGGTGTTTGAAATTTACTGACTCAGCAAAGGGCTTTAAAACTTTTTATTTTATGACTCCTTACCTTTATTTAACATTTGACTTGTAACACAAACTGATACTCATGTGCTACAACTCTTTTTGTCACCTGGGGGTCTGTTTTCCAAGCATCTAAAGGTTGAAGTATTGTAAATGTATTTTATTTATGACATTAAAAAAATCCTTGTAGGAAAAAATGTTTTTTTTCTATGATTTCAGCTCCTTCTATTGAATAAATCAAGTCTGCTCAGAAAGAAATAGAATTAAAGCACAGGCATTTAATCAAATCAGACAAGTCACTCAAAGCTTACCAAATGTTGGGGTAAGTAACCTCTTTAGTGAGATCTGTTTGGAAAAGGCTATGTTCGGGCTGCTTTTCTGGTTCCTGAATAGAAGACCCATGCAGACCATTGCAAGTCCATGTGTCATCTCTTTCAAGTCTATGCACCCACCTTAGGTTCTTACGTCCATGCACAGCCAACTACGGGCTCTTCCTTTGTGCCAGGTCCAAGGCCCACGCCATGCCAGGAGTGGGAATACAGAGGGCTCACACTCCAGACAGCAGAGAAGCCTCTATTCTACCGTGAAGCTGCAGAGGACTATGGAGGCAGCAAAGGGAGGGGTGCTACCTCATCCTAGGCAGGCTGAAGAGCGCCTCCCAAGAATGATGGCACAGGGGAGGGGAGGAGGAAGGGCACGGACAAGTGTGCAGAGGCCCAGGGGTTGGAGGGAGAGGAAGGGTCCAGCTGAGGCATGGGTGCCAGGCATGCCAGGCATTGCTACCCTGGGACTTTGGATTTTATCCTTCAGGCCAAGCACTTTTTTTTTTTTTTTTTTTTTGAGACAGTCTCACTCTTGTCACCCAGACTGGAATGCAATGGCACGATCTCAGCTCACCGCAATGTCCGCCTCCTGGGCTCAAGCAATTCTCCTGTCTCAGCCTCCCGAGTAGCTGGGATTATAGGCGCCCACCACCACCATAACTAATTTTTGTAGTCTAAGCAGAGACAGGGTTGCACCATATTGACCAGGTTGGTCTCAAACTCCAGACCTCAGGTGATCTGCTGCCTCAGCCTCCCAAAGTACTGGGATTACAGGCGTGAGCCACTGCGCCCAGTGCTTTAGACTATTTTTATTTTTTTTTTTTTTTAAGTCAGTGGAACTTTGTTTTAGGTGAAACATGAACACAAGCCCAATGTGTGAACCGGAGGCCAAGGGGCTCAGTTGGAAAGAAGGGTCGGGGTCCTCAGCCTTCCTCTTCCACACTCACCTTTTCAAAGGTTTGAGGGTCTCCTCTGCTCTGCAGAGCATGGTCTGGAAATGCACAAGACCCCGCTTCCCCCAGTGGTTGGTGGCATGTCTGACTGTGGTCAGAGCCTCAGCTTCCCATGCCTTGTTACCTAGTCACCATGCCTGGTCTTGCCTCTTCTCCCCAGGCCTCTTCCAGCTCTACTACTCACGGAGATGCAGACGCTGCTAACTCACTCCCATTCTCCCCTCATCTTCACCATCAGAAGTAGAGTGGGTGATGCCTGGCTTATGACGGACCTGTGCGAATAGAGGGAGAACAATCCCACAGGAGGCCTTCACCCAGAGGTGGCTACTGTGATCACCCAGATGTGCGTGCCCCAAAAGCTCATGAGTGCAGATGAAGTGGAGGGATAGCCCGACATCTTCCTGAAAAACCTACCCCTGAACACAAGGAAGATAACACAAGGCCACACCAGAGACCCCCGTGGTTCACTTTTCTTCTTTCTCTTCCTAATGAGGTGGGGCCCAGCTCTTGCATATTGAAAACATGACTGCAGGTGTCTGGATGCAGCAGCCTCTTCCATCTGTATCCAGTTCCATCACTTGGATATGCCACCCTAGGACCCAGGTCCCATTTTCTACTTTTGTTTGAAAACGTAGACCAGCTCTGGGAGGTATGACATGTAGATGACATCATCTCACAAATGGAAAACCAGACCCTCAAAAGTAAATACTGCACTCGCACCCCAAGAGAGAGCTGGGAGCAGAGGCCAGTGTGAGGACTTGACACCCCAAGATGCTAACTGCGTCCTTGTTTTCTGCAAAACTAACAGAACACTAAGAGAAGTGAGATTGTCTGCCTCAGCTGCAAAGTTGAAATGGGTCTACTTGTACAATCTTCAGGTGGACTAAAATCATCCACACAGAGGGCAGTGCAAGATTGGACGCCATAGAAGAATGCACAAAAGGAATTGATTCTAAATTGCTGCAGAATGATTAGAGTTTGGTACCAGGAGAGAAAAACAAAAAGCAAACAAACAAAATAGGACATAGGCATTGGAGAACCTGCCGAGGGTTTTCTAAGGGAGGCTGCCAGGATGTCTTTCCTGGAGGCTCATGGACAAGAAGGCCACCTGTTAGGCAGGGGTGGGCTAACAGAGGGGAGATGGAACAAGTGACCCATTGCTGCTCTGGTCCCAACCTTGTGGCAGAAGTTCCTCCATGTGGATCTCCCATCATTTTTAGGAGAAAGCTGCTTGTACAATGCAAACTTACCCCAACCATGCTAAGATTTTGGTTTTATTACAAGTTCTGCTGCTCAGATCTCTTTTCTGTCAGATCCCTGGAGAGGTGCAGCTGCAAGCAGTGGTTGCAAAGTGACACTTACATATCTACCAGTCTGGCTCTAAAAGTCTCCCCACTGAACACCTAAGGCCCTGTTCTGCCTTCATAGCTCTCTGAATACCGAATTTTACCCAACAGTGCTTCCAACACTTGAGTAGGAAAGAGAGAAGGGTGAAAATAATTGGCTTATGAGGGCTTTCAAGGGTGAACTTTGCTGACCTGAATCATTTGGCTGCTGCATCCAGACACCTGCAGTCATATTTTCAATATGCAAGAGCAAAGAGGAATTAGGTATGCCAGAACAGAGTCGTTTGTGTTCTGTGCAATCTGTTCTCTACACAATCACAAAGCATGTTTTAATGATATTTCAAAACACTTTTTCAAAGAGAGTTTAATGCAAAGCAGATTTCTTTGTGTAACAAAGACAGGAAAGATACTACTTGACAGAAGCTCTTAAATCCAAGACTACGGAGGCTATCAAAAACAATTGGCAGCAGGCCAGGAACTCAAATTTTGACAAGAGTTGTCAGATACTGTGATTCAAGGGGCAATACAAATTTGTCAGAGGTATTATCCTTAGATCATCAAAAATGTTCGTTGTGCTTATCTAGATTTCCCTCCAAAGATCTTGCAAAGGTTAAGAGAACAAGTGATGATGTCTGGAGGGGCTTGTGATCCCAGGCAGAAGTTGTAAGGAGGGCAAGTGTGAACCATGGGGATTTGGAGATTTTCACTGATAAGATTTTACCTGAAAAGTCAGGTGAATCTACCTCTGTATGCAACACTCTTTTTTTTCTTTTCTTTTTTAAATTATACTTTATGTTCTAGGGTACATGTGCACAACTTGCAGGTTTGTTACATACGTATACATGTGCCATGTTGGTGTGCTGCACCCATTAACTCGTCATTTACATTAGGTATATCTCCTAATGCTATCCCTCTCCCCTCCCCCCACCCCACAACAGGCTCCGGTGTGTGATGCTCCCCTTTCTGTGTCCAAGTGATCTCACTGTTCAACTCCCACTATGAGTGAGAACATGCAGTGTTTGGTTTTCTGTCCTTGTGAGAGTTTGCTGAGAATGATGGTTTCCAGCTGCATCCATGTCCCTACAAAGGACATGAACTCATCCTTTTTTATGGCTGCATAGTATTCCATGGTGTATGTGTGCCATATTTTCTTAATCCAGTCTGTCATTGTTGGACATTTGGGTTGGTTCCAAGTCTTTGCTATTGTGAATAGTGCCGCAATAAACATACGTGTGCATGTGTCTTTATAGCAGCATGATTTATAATCCTTCGGGTATATACCCAGTAATGGGATGGCTGGATCAAATGGTATTTCTAGTCCTAGATCCTTGAGGAATCGCCACACTGTCTTCTACGATGGTTGAATTAGTTTACCGTCCCACCAACAGTGTAAAAGTGTTCCTATTTCTCCACATCCTCTCCGGCACCTGTTGTTTCCTGACTTTTTAATGATTGACATTCTAACTGGTATGAGATAGTATCTCACTGTGGTTTTGATTTGCATTTCTCTGATGGCTAGTGATGATGAGAATTTTTTCATGTGTCTGTTGGCTGTATAAATGTCTTCTTTTGAGAAGTGTCTGTTCATTTCCTTTGCCCACTTTTTGATGGGTTTGTTTTTTTCTTGTAAATTTGTTTGAGTTCTTTGTAGGTTCTGAATATTAGCCCTTTGCCAGATGAGTAGATTGCAAAAATTTTCTCCCATTCTGTAGGTTGCCTGTTCACTCTTAGGGTGACATTTGTAGGCATAAAGACCCCATTCTTGCCTTCAAAGAGTTTACATCTAGATAGCACCGCTTTCTCTCTTAGAGTGCCTACGAAGCACTGAACAATCACGGACAAAATCAAACATGAGCTGTAATAACATCAACAGGGCCTGTGCAAATTATTTAACTCATTTTGAAGTGAAGAAACTAGTAAAATGTCACAAAAGTTTCAAAGGAGAACCCAATAATGATTTATGGATTAAGAATATTGAAACAAATTTGTAAATGGAAGCAAAACTGGCTTGGAGGGAAAGTCATTGTTTCTCTTTGGGATAGAATTGATTTGCAGGTCTATGGACAATTATTTGCATTACTATCAGTTTTCCACATATTAACCGAAACCTCTACAGCAATGTTAAACAGCTCTGAGAAAAGTCTCTGATCCCTAATGGTCCAGATCATCAGAGGGACACCCTCATCCATTAACAGGATGCCCAGTAATATTTTCGCTTATCCCAAAGTCTTGTATTTTTACAAGATACTTAATATTATTTTACATTGATATTATATTACATTATTAATATTAATAAAGTAATATCACATTATGTTATTAATTACAAGGTAATTAATATTATAATTACATTGATAATTAATACTGGATTCTGGAACACTTTAAACATGTGTGAGAAAATTGCTGTGGACATGGAAAAGGATCATGAAGCCATCAGGGGATGTGAGTGACTCCCCTTCACACTGTACATGAAAAGCCACTGTATTAGTCCATTCTCACATTGCAATAAAGAAGTACTTGCAATTGGGTAATTTATGAAGAAAAGAGGTTTAACTGACTCAGTTCTGCTGGTTGTACAGGAAGCGTGGTTGGTGGGGGGCTCAGGAAACTTATAATCATGGCAGAAGGGCAAAGGGGAAGTGAGCACCTTCTTCACATGGTGGGGCAGGAGAGAGAGAGAGAGAGAGTGAGAGACAACATGCAAGTGAGTGAAGAGGGAGGTACTACATACTTTCAAACAACCAGATCTCGTGAGAACTCTATCATGAGACAGCAGTAGGGGATGGTGCTAAACCATTGGAAACTACCCCCATGATCCAATTGCCTCTCACCAGGCTCCATCTCCAACACTGGAAATTACAATTCAACATGAGATTTGGGTGGGGAGAGAGAAACAAACTGTATCAGCCACATAATGACTAATGGTGAGGCAGACAACAATCCATGCTTCAAGGTCTGGTCTAACAAATTCTGGCTCACATTATGTTCAAGGACTTTTTTCTTTTGTTGTTAGATTGGAAGATTTTTTCAAAAGTAAAAATTACACCTCAAAGGGAGTATTCTTGCAGAAATTTGGCCTTGAATAACATTGTCACTTGAAATCAATGAGTGAATGACAGCAGAGGTTTGCTAACTTCTATAATACCCAAAAGGCAACCACAAGTGGAGGACAGTCTTCTGGACATCTCTTCAGCTGAATACAAAATTTCTTTAGGCAAGGCCGTGTCTGTGGCCTGGGGATTCCTTGTACCGTTTGCAGAAAAGTAAATGTAGTTGCAGAAATTTTAGATAGGTCATTGCTTCTCACTTACAGTTGTAAGTATTTAGATCAGTGCTTTCTAACTTTAATACGCACATGAATCATCTGTGAATGCTGTCAAAATGTAGTCCTATTCCCTAGGCCTGGGGCAGGTCCTGAGATTCTGTATTTCTCACAACACCATGCCACCACTGCTGGTCTGTGAACCACACATAACTCAGGAGAGCTGACCCTTCACTCCCACTCAGCATCAACGAAGCAGAACAGGTTCGAGGGAGGTGGGACTGGTTGGCTTTCGTTTCCCCTCCCCTTCTCTGCTATCTGCAGCACCCAGTGGGTGGTTGAACTTACATTCTCACTCAGAGGCAATGGGACAGTGTGAATTGGTCCCTACTTCTCAGGAAAGCATTGGTAGGGTGTGGAAAGAGCTGAGTTTCCTTTCCACCTATGAACAAAGAGAACACCCAGAAGGAAGCTGCATGTACATACCTGGCCCTTACTCTGCACGTTAGCAGGGGGACTACCTGCTAACAAAAGAAGACTCAGCAAAATCCAGAGTCTGAACCCAAAGGCAGATGTTACAATTAATTGTCACTCACCCTAACAAGAACAAGGAAAGCTACAACTTGAATGAGAAATGGCAACCAACAGATGAATTACCAAGATGAATCAGATGCTGGAAATACCTGAGCACCCACCATAAAAACTCTTCAACAAGCAATTGCAAATTATCTTGAAACAAATTAAAAAATTGAAAATGTTAGCAAGAAATAGATAACATAAATATAATCATATGAAAGTTATGTAACTGAAGAAATACTACCACCAACCCCTCCCCACAAAAAAAAAAAAAAAAGCAAACAAAACAAAAAGCAACTTGCTGAATGGGCTCAATAGAAGAAGAGAGATGGCAGAGACAGGGTCAGTGAATCTGACAGCAGATTAATAGGACTTACTCCATCTCAACAATGAGAAGAAAATAGACTATTGGGGAAAAAGACAAAAATTATCTCAGGAATCTGTGGGGCAATAACAAAAGAACTAACATTGATATAATCAGAGCTCTGGAAGAGGAGACAAGAGAGTGAGACTGAAACAGAAATTGAAGAAAGAATAGTTGGAAACTCCCCAAATCTGGCAAATAGGATAACTCCAAAGAAGTTCATGCCAAGGCACTTCATAATTAAACATACAGTGATTCGTGCAATGATACCACATCCGGAGTGTGGCGGAGGGGCTTGGTGATGGAACATCCAGAAGAACCCTGTGACAAAGGCCACTGTGGAGACGCACCCTCCCCAGACACTCTTAGTAAGTTCTTCCTGCTTTTTCAGATTAGATCCTGGGGCTGCAAGATGGTTAGAAATGGTCCCTGCTCTAAGAAGATCCTAGGTGATTTGCGGGGTGGACATATAAACCACCTATGATGGTGAGAGCACGAGGATTGTTCTGCCCCTGGCTGCTCTAATGAGGCCTGTCTTAATTTTGAGAAAATCTCTCTATTTTGCATATCTGTAAAGTGAATGTACAGATTCATGTGTTCTCTGAGAGTGGGACACAATTAATATGTAGATGATAGTTGTGTAAAATACCCCTTTTAAAGTCACATTTTAGAGAGTTGGAGCCAGGGTCTCCCAACATTTGTGGAGCTCTGTTAATCTGACTGTTGGCTCCCGGGAATGATCTGTATAGATTTCTGGTCCTCTCTCTTCTGGTATCGGGACTCTTTGCTCTGAATGCAAGAGATGGTTCAAGAAAATGATTCTCCATTGCAGTAGCTACATGAGTACATGGGAGACTGGATTCCTCATATGTGTTCTAGGTTTCTCAGCATGTCATTGAGAGTGTTTAGGGATCTTGTGAAATTATTTGCAGAAGGTAAGTTTCTTTTTCCTACAAGGACTCTGGCATAATTCCTTGGCAAACTCAGGATTCTATGACCTGTGTAAATCACATCCTTCTCTGGATGGTTTTCTCTATACCAACTGGCAACTCATCATTCTTTTTAATAAGGTTAAAGCCAGGAGAAAATTCAACTTTGGTGTTTTCTATTCCTGTAGGAGGCTCACCTGTGAGAAAACTGAGGATGCAGCACCAGGAAGCTGAGGACATCAAGCTGGATGGCGAATCAAACAAACCTCACACAGAGCTCTGTGAGTCACATCTCAGAGTTGTCCCCATCAGGAACCAAGGAAGCCTGGCAGGTAGGGCATTGACACAGGGAGAAAGACCAAATTCTTCAGGCACTTCCAGCTCCCAGGAGTGGAGAGGGTGGGCTCCAGCATCCTGTAGGCAGCTCCCCAGCAAACAGACTCAGATTCTGGTGCTGGGGCTACACCAGGAGCTTGGGCATGAACCGAGTACTAGATGAAAGGGAACACTGTACCTATTAGTCTGTTACAGCAACACTTTGTGAGCCTTGCTAAATTACCTAGTAGATTTCCTGGTCCCTCATTGAATTATTTTGTGTTTTTTCCCCTCAAACTACCTCTCTGCACCCTTAGCCAGTGTCCTTTCTGATGACCTCTTCGTCATCAGATGCTCAAAGCTGAATTTATCTGCATCATCTCT